GCTGGTGAGTCCCTCCGAACATCTGTCGGCGCCGTCGATCTCAGTAGAAACGGCTGGATTTGGCTTGTCTAGAAACGTCCCCGTCGTGCTCGTTGATTCTTCCGTGCGACAACCCCGATGCCTCCTACTGGTTGAACACAGTGTGTAAGCTCGCTCGCTCGATTTGACTTGTCCTGCGTGCTCGGGGTGTTCACCCGGTCCAAACCTCCCGCCGGCTTTTCACCGGAAACTTTGGTAGAAATTTTCCATACGAACTAAGGTGGAAATGACGGCTGAATCGCTTGATTTCCTCCTACCCATTTTGACTTGCATGAAGCAGTGGAATAAATAAAGCCTTTTCCTGTGCCGTCTTTCTTTGGTTTGTCTAGGAGGTCTCGCATCAACTAATTTATTCCGGGGTAAATCATTGCATCTTGATTGTATACTAGTTGGCATGTCCATGGCGTACCACTGAGACGAGCAACAGAGGCTTCTCCTTCTGCAAAGCTCGCCCAATTGATAGATGGATGCGGTAGTGGTGTTGTGTGATTCAAGGGGTTCAGATTCATGTTCCAAGAACCTGCAACCTGTGCGCTTCTAACCCAAACTCATCTTTTATTTCTCCAACCGGGATCATGCAGGTCTTCTCTTATCTACAGTTTCCTGTTCCCTTTTTCATATCTGGAGTAGTGGAGTACAAGTTGATTTGCTGACGCTTTATTCTAATCTGGCTACGTGGCGGTGCTATTCCTTAGGTGGCTTCTGGTGTTGGTAATGCGAATCATACGGCTTAGGTTCCTGCTCTGCCCATGTGCTGGAATCTATTTTCGCCGTAGTCATCTGTACCATCACGCTTATTCTATGGAAGCAACAATTGTTAGAGCTGTTCACATCTGACTATGCAACCCCAAACGAATTAGTCCTTTTGCAGTTGCTTGCTCCACCAAGGCGCATTTCTTTTCTCCATTTTTCGTCTATATTATACATCTCATGGGGTCAAACACTTATTTGGTGCCGGGTGATTCTCCTCCGCACTGTTGTGATTTAGATTAATTTCTTGGATAGTCTTGCGGAAGCTCCCGTGTCCTTGTCCTTTTCATGTTGTCGGCAAGGTCTAATTCTGCCGTCAACATGTCTTGGTTGCACCATGGAACCAGATTCTTTTCAAGTCTGACCTTCATAAGGAGATCACATTGTTATTAGTCTGGATAGAGATGCTAGTTCATTGGTCATGATATTTACAGGGAAATTACTTTAGCTGGCTGCTGGTGTTGGTATACCATAAGGCTTTATTTCCTGCTCTGCTCTCCTGGCCATGAGCATGAAACACTATTCCTGCTGTAGTCATGTGTCCCATGAGGATTATTCTGTAGAGTGACAATTATTATAGCTTTTCATATCTGACTATGCAAATTCAAGCGGATTAGTTCTTGGCAGCTGCTTGCTTCAGGAAGGTGCAGTTCTCCCATTTTTTTTTGTAGAGCTTGTGGTCTTGTTTTTCCCTGCACGAGGTCAAATTTGTTTGATAGTGCCTTAACTTCCCCCAGTAGTGCATACTAGTTAGATTTACCAGTTTTATTCGACATTCCCGCAAAAACTCTGGTGTCCTTATCACTTTGATGTTGTCTGCAGGGACTAGTTTCACCGATAAGAACTCGCAGTTCCACCATGTTCCGTGGAGCCAGATCCTTTTAAAATTGATTAAGTTTGACATTCAGAAAGGGACATCATTTTTGTCTGGAAGCGGGTGTTGGTTCCTGGCCACGATGGTTGCAGGGAAAAGAGCATAGGTGTGTAGCTATTATCTCTCTGTTAGTTTACTCGCTTCCTTGTTGATTTCTCTGGTGACTCCATGAGCGTTTAGTAGGCTCTCTGTTAAACAAGGTACTATGCTTGAGCATCTTTCTGCAAACTTTGTGTGGTTGTGTGGCTTTTCTGTTGCAACCTATCAAGTTCCCTTGTTTGATGGCAAGATTTTGCTATGTGTCAGTACCCGATTGATGCAGTTCGAAACTCTAAATACTTATTTTCTTTCTCTATTAGTCTTGTACATCGGACTCATTTGTTATTGAACAGGTTTTATGATGAGTCATTCTTGATTATTCTTGCATCCATTCTGTTTTGACAGGTTTCGACAATTGGGTTTCCATTCCTTTAAATTCTGTGTGTAACTTTAGTACCTCTGAACTATTTTTTCAAATGTCTTTAGATGCTCAAAATCTTTTCTTTTGAGCTGTGGACTCAAATCCTTTGCTTCCAGTGGAAGAGGAATGCTTCACCTTTCACTTCATCTTAGCTATCCATTTTAAACGAATGAGTGCAATCGAATCTTGATCCATTGCAGCTCAGGTGACAGTTTAGGGAGGACACTGAACCTCACGAGAAACAGTCTACGAATTTGGGCAGCTACTGTACTCTTACTACATGGAAGTGCAAACTACCATGACAAGAGCATCTTGGTGCGCAGGTGCTATTGCAGCAGATCACATGTTGCATGGCAGCAAAGACAAAGAGTTGGTAACTCTATGCTGTAACTTTAATGGGTGACTGTTGCTCTGTTAGTGCCAACGATGCCGTCATCTCTGGTCATCTGCATTTGCCGCGCTGTCGCCGCATAATGTGAAGGTGTTGGGATGATGAAAGGGAGGGTTGCTAAGGTAACTGACATATGTACAGATGATAATGGCATACATTCACAGAGTTGGATGTGAAAGAGGAAAAATGGGATCTTGAGCGAAACATCAGATTGTCTCTTGTTTGGTGAGACGGGAACACATTGCCTATATTGCTTTGGACCATTCTTACTTAAGTTGTGGCAAACTTTGGTATCCGACCAAACACCCCTCATATCTTGGCCCTTTGTTCGTTATGGATATCTTAGATAAATGGAAAGGCATAATATGCCTATTTTATCTAGAGACAGTTGCTAAGCTTACTAGATAATAAAATGCCGCACTTGCCTAAATGAACTATGTGGATTTTATTATGGATAAATTTATATCTATATCTACTAGTAAGTTGCACATGCTTTGCATGTGAGGAGAAATTTGTTGCATAGGAGTAATTTATATGGAACAAATACTTGCTTTTTTCTTCTCAATGCTTGGTTGGATTAAATCACAAGGTATGGATTGTGACACACAGATCATTAATCTAAGATTTTTTTTATATACGAACTTCAATTTCACCGTTCCTTTTTCTTTTTTTCTTTTTACCACTCCCACAGTTAACCCGTGGTCTTTCTAGACATTCCCACCATCTTCCTCTCTTGCTCTCTTCCAGCCATTTTTTTCTGCTCACTGCCACCTTGTTCCTCGATGCTGGGTGTTGTCACCTATTTTCCTTGTGCCACACACTCGTTTCCTGTCCAGCTCCGGCATGCAAGCCACCCCACCACAGCAGAGTGGAGGTGCACACAAGAAGGCACCGGAGTGCAGCTGGACGCCTGGTGTGAGATTTCACCAGGCAGCAAGGAATCGACTGAGCCATCAAGGAGCGAAGAGGCGCGAGCAGCTTTCCTATACTCTAATTTAGGACTCAGGAAATGACATATACTACCTCTGTACCAAAATATAAGACGTTTTTGTAAGCTATATTTTGATACAGAGTGAGTATCTTTTAGGACTTGAACCTCACCTGCAAGTAGATAACGTTCCTCTCCCCAATAAACGCCTGACAAATCTTGCTATTGAAATTCTAGCCACAAAAGATCTGTTTCCATCTGTGGTGTACTAATTGCGTTTTCCGGCAAAAAGGTTAAAAATATCAGTTATTGGTGCTGCACCAGATGTAGCATCCGCGTGGAGAAGATGAACTCTCCACTAGAGCCAAACTTGGCGTTGCAAATGTGAGCCCATGAATTTGACTACTTTAGCCCTCCTTTCCCTTTCCCCTACCTCTATCCCACCCTCCACAGCACATCTTTGTTCTTCTTCACTCCTCCCGTCCTCCATTGCTCACCATCTTGCCTCCGCCTTGTACCGAATCAGCACAAATGCCCAATTGCTTCCAATCTGTTTAATTTGCTTCTTGTGGCTGCAGACACCACTTTTTGGCCTTGGCGTGCAGACTTTGGATCTAATCCCGATTAGCTTATCACATCCTCGCTAATTGGTAACTTGGTGTGAACTCATTAATTTCCAAGCAATCATGTGCTGTGGAGTATTTTTCTTATTCAGTTCAGCAGATATTTACTGAATAATTCTCCATTCTAGCACACCTCATACTTGTATGTCTAGCTTAAACTTAACAGTGCTTCATTCGGATCTAGTTATTTGGATTGATATTTTCTAGGTGCCTTTGAAAGTTGACACGGAGCTCATTTCCTCCCATTCTGAACATTGATTATGATGGCCATTTGCTTCAAATTATGTTGCCATATTATTGTGTGTGATGGTAGTAATACAAACTAAGCCATTCAATTATTCCATTTCTGTTACTTGAACTTTATTGGTTTCGCTGTGCTGCTTGCTCAAAGTTTGTTGGCCAATCTAATGCTTTTCTATCAATCTTCTGTTAGACTTGTCCATTATCATCAGAAGAGAATAACAATCTTCCGCTTTACTGTGGTTTAGCTCTTGGGAATTGCTTAAGTTCTTCTGTGACAATTCTTCTTGACCTTTTCTTCTCCAGTAGTTTGCGGAAGCTATTCTGTTGTAAATTTGCTTCTTCACAGTAACATATACTGGCTTAATTATTTCTGAACTTGCTTTCTGATTGATTTGTTTTTACTAGATTAATCATTTGGTAATCCCTCTTAGGTATATCTGCCCTCCAACTTTTGCATTGCTTTTATAATGCGCCTGGTTTTAACAAATTTGGCGATACATGAATTAGTGTTATTTCTCTTGGCTTATCCTTTTTTTTCTGTGTAATTGACTACCTAGAATTTTCCCTTACACATGCTCTATATATTGTTTTTGCTTCAGATGTTTATAGAATTCAAGATTCTACCAACATTGTCGTTCGTCATTCTTCTGTTCATGCATTCTGAAATTGTGATCTTTTAGGTAACATTGGGCATGGAGTTCTTCACAGAATATGGGGAGGCAAGCCAGTATCAGATCGAAGAGATCATTGGCAAGGGAAGCTTCGGAGTAGTTGCTGCTGCAGTAGATACCCAAACTGGGGAGCGGGTTGCGATCAAGAAGATACATGATATGTTTGAGCATGCCTCAAATGGCACCCGCATTCTTCGGGAAATCAAGCTTCTTCGGCTTCTCCGCCACCCAAACATAGTTGAGACCAAACACATCCTGCTTCCCCCTGCCCGAAGGGAGTTCAGAGATATTTATGTTGTTTTTGAGCTCATGGAGTCGGACCTACAGAAAGTGATCCAAGCAAATGAGAACCTCACTGCAGGGCATCACCGTTTTTTCTTGTATCAACTTCTTCATGCCCTCAAGTACATCCATGCAGGTTAGTTCAGAAACCGTTGGCATATCATTCACCTTATCATCAACAATCACGTCTTATCAAGTGTGAATCCTTTGTACAGTCTTATTTTGAACTCTCATGAAACCCTGTCTTACTTTTATGCATATGATTTATCTTGTCGCAGCTAATGTATTTCATCGTGACTTAAAACCGAGCAACATACTTGTCAATTCAAACTGCAAACTAAAGATCTGTGACTTTGGGCTTGCACGCGCATCGCGTGATGATCCTCCCTTGGCTATATTTTGGACTGTAAGGCGTTTGTCGCTGTATTAAATAATCATTTTCTATTTCTCTCCTCAAGTTACTTACCTAGTGCACTTTGCAATTTGAAGGACTATGTGGCTACAAGGTGGTACCGTGCTCCTGAATTATGTGGCTCATTTTTCTCCAAAGTAAGTTGGTGTCTGTTTGTTTGAGGCTAAGTTTGCCTATGGTTGACACACATCACACACCTAAGGTTGGGCAAGTTTGATTGACGTAGGTAGGTCTTTGGTTCAAGCCACACCTTCGGCAGGATTCTTTTTCCACCAATAAGGTCCCACATGCCATACACTTACAAAGTGTGGCAAGATTCCCTTAGGCTCCAATTTCGTTGAACTAACCTTAGGCAAGTTTGGCAAAAATAATTGTGCAAAGTGTGACATTGTTAGTCCTAAAACCAAACAGCCCCTTAGTCTTCAATTCTCAGCGCACTATAGTCAAATAGTACAGAAAGGAAGCCTCTTGCAGTACTAAATCTGTATGCCGGTGTTGCTTGTTATTGCAGACTTGTTTCCAATGCATGAATCATTCTAATGCTTTAAATGTGTATATGATGGTTTTTTTCTTTCCGAACGGGCACATAAGTGCTGGTCATTGTAGTAGAAGAAAAATGCCGAGAAGGCAGATGTCTCACACTGCCAAGAAACGCGAAAAAGAAAACAAAAGAACTGTAAATGTCCTAGACTATGGGCTATGGCTCAAGGCAAAGGATCAGGAGGGTGTCCTTGTTGTGGCAAGGCCCTCAGCACCTTGGCACCTTGGCACCAGCGTTGTGCAGCCTCCATAGCTGCCACATGGTGAGGATGATGATTGAGCGCGCTCCATTGGATCTCTGACCACCGGCCCTCTCCACAGCAACTTCAAACCAGGTGGGAAAATTATCACCGGGCTGTGGGCAGAGATGCTGGAGCGAGAAGTGGCTTAGGACCGAGTGCCAGACCTGATGCGCGAAGACACACCCTGTTAACAGATGCGAGTTTGTCCTGCCCTCCTGGTCCCACGATGGGCATTGATTGGGGTCGGGTAGGCCTCGCCTTTGGAGACGGTCAGCCGCCAACATCAGTTGGCCGCTGCTAGCCATGCAGAGACTTTGCATTTCAGAGGAGCCCAGCTACCCCAGATCGGTGCTGAGAGTGGTTTTTAGACACCGCCGGCGAAAAGAGCCATGTAAGCAGATCGAGGGTTGTATGGGCGGGAGGCGGAGATAGTCCAGACGTACTGGTCGTTGCGTGTCGGGGGAGGGTAGGGCTGTCGACGATCTCCACAAGGTGGAGTAACTCCATAATTCCCTGCACAATGAGGGTGCTTGAGATATCATGGATCTATTGGCCGTCAGTGCATGCTTCGCTCACCGTGCAGCAATTGATAACACACATGCTGACTGCAGCAGGTACCATAGGGGCCAGATTGGCCACTGACATCCTGTTATTCACCTGTCCAACCAAAATAGGGCACGGCGGCCGTCACTCAACATGACCTTGCTCGCTGCACGAAGGAAACTGTCGACGTGCCTTCTATCTTAATAGGGAGTGAGCCCATGGCTTGGATGGGTCAATGCTTGGAGCCAAGGCCACCTAGTCCTCAGAGCCCAGCCCATCTTCCTCGTATCTGCAGTGCCCAGACCGCCGAGCTTGACCAGGCGGCACACGTTTCGCCAAGCTACGGAGCAATTGCCACCTTTCGCCTCACGATGAACTCGCCAAAAGAAATTGCATGTTTTCTTGTCGAATCGCTCGCGCACCCACTTCTGCAATCCCCCAGCCGTCATAGTGTGTGTATGATGTTATCTTACCATATTATTAAAACAAGTTAACAGCCACCACATATCGCTCTTAAGGAGGTTAGAAATTCCCACATTAATCAGAGAGGAAAGCGACATTTCAACACCATTTATTTTGGTGGTCTCAAATTATAACGGTGCAGATTAATCTGGTAAATATTAAAGCTATTACAGTTGTATAAGGATTACAACTGCATTTGTACGTACTAACAAGTGTTAAGAGTTATGCAGCAAATACAGCTGTGTTTTCAAATGTGAACATGCGCTTTAGTATCTAACCACTCAGGAAATATCTTTGAAAAAACACCTTTAGAAAGTACCCAAATGCACCAGATTATGGCGAAAACTGAAGTAGTAAAGTTGTAAGCAGTACAGTTGGCACCAATTTTCCTTTCTAAACATGGAAATTTTGCTGAACTTCTCTTCTTGCAGTGGACACTTGTAGAATCATTATTTGCAAAG